TAGTCCAGTTTTCCTCTGGTTTTTTCGCGTTCTTCCTTTTTTTACATTTGTTTTCTTTGCATTCTCGCCAGTTTTCTTTGTTTTTCATAGTTCTCTCTGTTTTTATTTTTTTCTATGATTTCTCCCATGTATTTGTTTCTTTTTCTCCTTTTCCTTTTCCTTTCCCTTTCCTTTGGGGGTTTTATTTATTTTCTGGTTTTCTTTTTCAAGGTATTTTTGTTTTTCATTTTTTTCTTGTGTTTCTCTCGTCTTTTGCTTTTCTTTCTCCGTTTCCTTCACTTTTCTTTGTTTTTCTTTTCTGGTTTTTGATGGTTTCCTTCTTTTCCAGTCGTACATTTTTCATATACATCAGGAACATTTTTAGTATATATATTTAATATTTTATAAATATATGACTACTATTTTTGAAAACTTATTTTTACGTCTTCATAGGAGTTGTAAAGAAAATGTTCACATCAGGAACATTTTTATGTATAAATTTAACATTTTGTAAATACATGCTTAACATTTTTGAACATACAATATCTAATTTGTCCATAAACATTGTACATTTTTATAGATTAGGAATATTTTTGATATATGTGTTTAATATTTTCCAAATACATAATTAACAGTTTTATAAATTTATATATATTTTATCCCTACTTGTCTATAAACATTGTAGAATTTTTGTATACATCAGGATCATTTCATGTATATACATCTTTTACATTTCCTTAATAAATGATTAGCATTTTTAAACATATTTTATAGCTACTTTTTCCAAGCACACTGAAGATTTTTTGTATACAGCAAGAACATTTTTCATATACACATTTAACATTTTCTAAATACATAATTAATTTTTTCTAAAACATATATTCTCATATGTTGATTTTTTTTCTAAAAATATTGTGCATTTATTAAACATTTTTAGTGTACATTAGACACAGTTTTCCTATCCACATTTAACATTTTTCAAATGCCTGATTAACATTTTTTGAAAAAAATATGTAAAGTATTTTTTGAAAGAAAATATGTAAAGTATTTTTTGTAATGCACTGCATCCATCCCAAAATCTGTGTCTAATTTAGTTTAACTTTATACTAAAGTTTTATTAAATCAAAGACACTTATTTAGTACTCTTTCTATCCCTAATTACTTGTCGTGGAAATGAATGCATCTATCCCTCCATCTCGTTGCAGAAATGAATGTGTCTAGAACTAAAAATATATCGAGATACATCCATTTATGCGACGAGACGGAGGGAGTACAACTTTGTACTGAAGTTTTACTGAATCGAAGACATTTATTTTAGGATGGAGGGCGTATATATTTATATTATTTAAAAGTACAAACAACGTTAAAGAAAAGAAAGCGGAAAACGAAATCAAAAAATGTGAATAAAAAACGTTTGTCGCTAGATTCAGGCGAGCCAGCCATATGTCTCGCTTGCAAAACGAACGTCTACCCGAAAGCTAAGCCCGATCCAGGCCAGCCCGGTCCATGCTCAGGTTTACTTCAGAGGCCTGGGAAGTACTCCCCCGTCCCAAAATTCTTGTGTTAAATTTGTCTAAATACGGATAAACCAAGTCATGTTTTAATATTAGATACATCCGTATCTAAACAAATTTAAGACAAGAATTTTGGGACGGAGGGAGTACTACAGTACTACTAGTCATGGGATGATGTGCTCTGCTCGGGCATGTACTCCGACGAGTGTCTAGGTGCTCCGTACCTAGCACCGCTATCCACTCAACTCTCTCCGTCGCTCGGCGCCGCGCCGCCCGCCGCGAGCAAGAGCACGCCACGACACGCGACGCCCAAGCTGGCACGCACCTTGCCGATGGCCCGATAAGCACGACCGCGCGACGTGGCGACCCGCCTCCCCGGTGGCACGCAGTGCTCCTCCACGTAGCCGCGCCACGGCCCCACGTACAGCGGCGCGCGCGCTACAAATACGGTGCGTCGACCTCCATTCCCAGCACAAGACACACACACAGAGCGAGGTAGCAAGCAGAGTGACAAACCATGGCGATCAGAGCAACCATTCCTCTCCTCTTCCTCCTGGGAACCAGCCTTCTCTTTGCCGCGGCTGTTTCGGCCTCCCGTGACGACGAGGAGGACAGGCGCGGTGGGCACTCGCTGCAGCAGTGCGTGCAGCGGTGCCAGCAGGACCGGCCACGGTACTCGCATGCTCGGTGCGTGCAGGAGTGCAGGGAGGACCAGCAGCAGCACGGGAGGCACGAGCAGGAGGAGCAAGGCCGTGGCCATGGCCGGCACGGCGAAGGGGGGCGTGAGGAGGAGCAGGGCCGTGGCCGTGGCAGGCACGGCCAGGGGGAGCGTGAGGAGGAGGAGGGCCGTGGCCGTGGGCGGCACGGCGAGGGAGAGCGTGAGGAGGAGGAGGGCCGTGGCCGTGGGCGGCACGGCGAGGGGGAGCGTGAGGAGCACGGAAAGCACGAGCAGGGCCGTGGCCGGCGCGGCGAGGGAGAGCGTGATGAGGAGCACGGGGATAGCCGCCGGCCGTACGTGTTCGGCCCGCGCAACTTTCGTAGCATCATCCGGAGCGACCACGGGTTCGTGAAGGCCCTTCGCCCGTTCGACGAAGTGTCCAGGCTCCTCCGAGGCATCAGGAACTACCGCGTCGCCATCATGGAGGTGAACCCGCGCTCGTTCGTCGTGCCGGGACTCACGGACGCGGACGGCGTCGGCTACGTCGCTCAAGGTACCGTCCATCTTGTACACGTATCATGCATCTGCCGATCGATGATAACTAACGTGCGCATGCATGCATGCATGCAGGCGAGGGGGTGCTGACGGTGATCGAGAACGGCGAGAGGCGGTCCTACTCCGTCAGGCAAGGCGATGTCATCGTGGCGCCGGCGGGGTCCATCATGCACCTGGCCAACACCGACGGCCGGAGGAAGCTGGTCATCGCCAAGATCCTCCACACCATCTCCGTGCCCGGCAAGTTCCAGGTAATTAAAAAGTTTGACGCCGCTCGAATTTCTCGAATGGATAACGACGCAATGAATGACTGACACGTGGATATCCCATGCAGTATTTCTCGGCCAAGCCTCTTCTCGCGAGTTTGAGCAAACGCGTGCTGAGAGCGGCTCTCAAGGTACGTACCTACTTACATGCATGCACTAGTCAATCTCTTCTTTCTTTACTCAAAAAAGAAAAACTTGTACTCACATCCATGGACATGGACGTGAACGTGCAGACCTCGGATGAGCAGCTGGACAGGCTGCTGTTCGGCAGGCGCCAAGGCCAGGAGGAGGAGCCCATCTCCATCGTCCGCGCGTCCGAGGAGCAGCTCCGCGAGCTGCGTCGCGAGGCGTCCGAGGGCGGGCAGGGCCACCACTGGCCTCTCCCCCCGTTCCGCGGCGACTCGCGCGACACCTTTAACCTCCTGGAGCAGCGCCCCAAGATCGCCAACCGCCATGGCCGCCTCTTCGAGGCCGACGCCCGGAGCTTCCACGCCCTTGCCCAACACGACGTCCGTGTCGCCGTGGCCAACATCACACCGGTGCGTCACCACGCTTAATTAGTTCACCGGCGGCGGGCTTGATATCTTGATTTGTTACTTGACTGCTGTTTACATGAGTGCATATGTCGATCGACAGGGATCTATGACCGCGCCTTACTTGAACACCCAGTCGTTCAAGCTCGCCGTCGTGCTGGAAGGCGAGGGCGAGGTGCAGATCGTGTGCCCGCACCTTGGCCAGGACAGCGAGCGCGAGCACGAGCACGGCAAGGGCAGGCGGAGCGAGGAAGAAGAGGACGACCAGCGGCAGCAACGCCGACGCGGCTCCGGCTCCGAGTCGGAGGAGGAGCAGGATCAGCAGAGGTACGAGACGGTCCGCGCGCGGGTGTCGCGCGGCTCGGCGTTCGTGGTGCCCCCCGGCCACCCGGTCGTGGAGATCGCCTCGTCCCGCGGCAGCAGCAACCTCCAGGTGGTGTGCTTCGAGATCAACGCCGAGAGGAACGAGAGGGTGTGGCTCGCCGGGAGGAACAACGTGATCGGCAAGCTGGACAACCCCGCGCAGGAGCTCACGTTCGGCAGGCCCGCCAGGGAGGTGCAGGAGGTGTTCCGCGCCAAGGATCAGCAGGACGAGGGCTTCGTCGCCGGACCCGAGCAGCAGGAGCAGGAGCGCGGGGACCGCCGCCGTGGTGACCGCGGCCGCGGCGACGAAGCCGTGGAGGCCTTCCTGAGAATGGCAACCGCCGCGCTCTGAGGCGGCAAGGTCGCTGTCAAGTGAATGTGAGCTGGAGCCCGCGCCGTTTGAGAGCTGGACTTGTGTGGTGTATGTAGTTCGTAAGTACGCGGGAGTAGCATAAATAAGTTGTGGCTCGGGCTCAGCAGTACGATGATGTAAGTTGCCTACCTACCTTCCACCAAGGCATGCATGCCCAACATAAATAAACACAAGGGCATTGCGCCTCTTTTTCAGTATTTTCCTCCACTTTAGTTACATGCAAATCATCTGACAAATGAATTTGTGTCGTGTCTCCCAAAAACCAAAAAAATGTATCTTTTTCTTCCTAGAGAGGCACGGGTTTACTGAGGTATGAATTTCGTTCCGCGAGAGGCATACCAGTGTCTCTTTTGAAAAAGAAAAAATGTCTCTTTCGGAAAAGAAAAAATGCCCTGGTTTATTTTTTTCGTTAAGGAAGTATGTCAAATTTATGAACGGTTCAAGAGATAGAACATTTTGAATAAATTAATCTAAAAAAAACTTTCAGATTATGACAAATGGCGCACATTCAGTGTGCTATTTGTGGCATTCTGAGATGTGGGAGTGAACTTTGCAAAGATTACTTTTTAATTAGTGCTTATGGCGAGAAGTAGCCCTCTCGCGAGATGTGTGCGGGACGAAGCTATATCTCGCTTTTAGCGAGCTGTATGGGAGCATCACCTCAACCGCGAGATGGTTAGGGCAGCTCAGGTTCCTTAGTTTTTCTCCTCTGTTTTTTCATTTATTTTTGGGATAATCGGTTTTATACCCTTAGTTGGGTACCACTTGTCAGGATTGTCCCTATTTTTGTAAAACACGCGGTCTTGCCCAACTCAGTTTGCTTGTCTTGTATTTTTGCCCTTCCGGCACGGCTCCGTCCAGTCAGCGCCGTTTGACCGTAAGCGGCGCTAAATTTAGGACATTTTTGCCCCTGTCGGTGCTACACTTAGTACCCTTTCGTCCATAGTGAGCTCGCACTGAAGAAAACAGAGGAGCGGAGCTGGCGACGCGAGGCCCCACGAGGAAGAAGATGGAGCGGCGCAGCACGGCGAGCTCGGGCTCGTCCATCTACTCGCAGGCGGCCGGTAAGGTAAGTGAACATGAGCTCGTGCGGCTCCTCCACCCCCAATTTGTTCTAGGGTTTCTAGGGTTTGTGAGATTTGGAGGAAATTTTGACCTTCTTCCCTTCCATTTGGTTTAGGTTGATGGGGTCGGGATTGTGCAGCTCGTCTCCGAGTTCTATCTTCCCGATGACACCTACTGTGGATTGGAGTATCGTTCAAAGCATCGTTGCCCTGGTCACGACCTTGTTCCAGCCCGCCGTGTTTCTTGGGGAGGGGCAAGCACAGGCCGCCGGTTTTTAGGGTGTCCTTTAGACGGAAGAGATTGTGAATTTGAGCATGTTTTAGTTCTTCTTTATGAAAAATCTAATTTTTGGTAAATCTGATGTGCAATCAGTTACCACAGGAGTGTGAGTGGGTGGTGTGGGTTGATCCTCCTCCTCCATTGCGTGTTGCCTTGGCTTTTGAAGACCTGCACGCAGAGGTAGAACAGAGCTGGATTAAAAGTCACAAGTTGAAGAAGGAAAACATGGAGCTGTCAAGAAAGAATCATGTTTTGAAGAAGAAGCTGAGAGGAAGAGATGAGATGATGCTTCTTTTAGCATTGTTGTTTGTAGGAATTTGTGTTGTAATGTTGTTCGTGCTGTAGTTGTATCAGTTTGTGCTTGTTGACCGAATGGTACAACCTAGTGTGATGTATCTGAAGACGATGATGCACTGTTGTGGTCAAGATGAAATGCTATTTTGTCTATGCAAACTAGATGGAGTGGATGGATGCAAAGCAGATGTTGCTTCAGATGTATGCCAAAGTAGATGTAGGTTTTGTCGTCGACGACGTCGATGAGAAAACTATGCAAAGGTAAATGTAGGTTTTGTCGTCGACGACAAAACTATGCCAAAGGTAGATGTAGGTTTTGTCGTTGACAACGTCGATGACAAAACTATGCCAGAGGTAGATGTAGATGACACCACAGTGAGCGCAAAGAATTAAGAATAAGAATTTGATCATCACACATGTACCAAACACTGGGCATAACTAGTGCATAAAGCATTAAGAAGTTGATCATCACAGTGCATAGACAACAACATCAAGTGCATAAAGCACTAACAGCATAAAAGTACTGGTATCACAGTGCACATAGTAACAACATCAAGTGCATAACAGTTTCAAACATAAAACTGAAGTAACAGGACTAAACTGAAGTTTCTCCTAGTGTTTTTGGCTGGGTTTGGAGCCAGCTTTGCCTTGCTTCTAGCGTTCTTAGCTGCATTGGGGGCAGTGGGTGGGGCTTCAACTGCTGTTGCTGCTTTTTTGGCTGGAGAGACACCCTGGCTGTCAACACTGCTTCCAGTAACTGAGCAAAATGTAGTTGTTGGTCCATTTTTCTTCTGCTTGCAATACCTTGGAGAAGCTCCCCTCTCAGCTCCTCTTTTATAATTCTTTCTAGGACTAAAACAAGTTCAAACATAACACAATTTTTAAGATATGAACTAATGAAAACTAAAACAAGGGCAATATAAAACTGAAACAAGTTGCTGGCACACACCTCACTACACTAGCTTGTGTGGATGCCTCATGTGAGGTTTCCTTTGGTGGTGGCATCTGCTGCTGAAGAACATCAACTTCTGGCTCTTCCTCCTCCTCATCCTCCTCTTGTACTTCTGCTTCTGCTGGCTCATTAGCTGTTGGATGATCATCTGCATTATCTTCTCCCCAATGTTCTTCTTCTCCAAAGGCTGGATCAACAGATTCTTTGCATCCTTTGGTTTTGTGTCCACATCTTCCACATCTCTTGCACTTATACTTCCTAGGACCAAGACCCTTTCCTTCACTGGTAGATCTTATCCTCTGCTTTCTTGGTCTTCCTGGTGGTCTATTCTGAACAGGAGCACACAGCTTGAATCCCGGATCTACATAGTCCCACTGTTGTTTGCCTTCCAGAGCGGGTAGATTGTCAGCATAAGTTGCTCTAAACATGCCAACTGAGTAATATTTGTGGACATACTGATCTATTCCACTAGCTTCACCTCTTAGAGCAGTGATGAAAAAAAGGGCATGGATGCAGGGTTTACCAGTGATCTGCCACTGCCTACAACTGCAAGACCACTTCTCTATGTCAACAGGGTACCTCCATTCGCTTTTCTCTCTATCAGTAGCAGTCACCTCAGCCTCTGTTGGGCTTCTCCTAACTATACTCATCTCCAAACCTTTTGTCTTCTCCATCAAAATCTTCATTATTGCTGGTATGATGTTGTGCCCAATGAAATGGCCAGTGGCAATTCTGTTTCTTAAGTCAATTTTCTCCATGATGTATTGCCTAATCTTGTCTAGCAGGTCAACTATGTGAAGACTCATGTATTTCCTGATTCTTGAGTTAAATGATTCAGCAAGGTTGTTGTTCACATAGTCAACCTTGCTCATCTCATTGAACTCTGCTCTTGCCCAGATTTTTGTGTGGTGCTCCTCCAGATATTCCTTAACTTTGGGTTTGCTTTTGAGCTGGTTCAGATGATAATTATGCTTCTTGATACTGTAGGTTAGTGAACAAGGACATAAGTGATCATCAAAGAACTTTCCCTTAAATTTCTTAGTGAAATTCTGAGCCAAGTGTCTCATACACTCTCTATGTTCCACTCCAGGATACACATCATCAACTGTTGTTTCCAATCCCTTGCAAGCATCAGTATGTATCACTAAACCTTCTGGATGACCTACCATTTTCTTCAGGTTTGTGAAAAACCATGTCCAACTCTCAGTAGACTCCACTTCTAGAACACCATAAGCAACTGGAAACAACCAGTTGTGGCCATCCAGTGCACAAGATGCTACAAGTTGCCCTCTAAACCTACCATTCAATGCTGTAGCATCTACAGCCAGGTATGGCCTACAGCCCTCCAGGAAACCCTTCTGACAAGCTTTGAAGCAAACAAACACTCTTCTAAAACACTCCTTGTAATACTCCTTGCCTTTAATCTGATACTCAACTATGTGCCTGTCAATTTCTACTAGACTGCCTGGTGATGCCCTCTCCACTTCAGCTGTGAAAGAATAAAGAAGTTGGAAACTATCACTATACTTGCCATATATTTTGTCCAGTGCCATCTCTTTGCCATTGTAGCACCTGTCATATTGCACCTCCACACCATACTTCTCTAGCAACTTCATCTGAATTTCCTTAGGACCAATAGATGGATTTTGTCTGATCCAGGGCATAGATGCATGTGCAATCCACCTCCTTTTTGAAGCTCTCAATCTCTAAGATCTGTTGACACTAGGACAAGTATGTTGGTGTTGGTTCACTTTAACCTGAAATAAAACAACACAACAAATAGTAAGTACATATAACAGTAGTGAGTGCAGAAAATATAACACATTACAGAGATCACAACATTTAATACCTGAAACATTGTGCTCCTCCTCATTAAAGAAGCATGTAGCCTCCATTTACACCTGTCATAAGAACATTTGACAGTAAACCTAGTTGGGTCACTTTTCAGAATAGAGAATTCAGTTTCAGCTTTGATTGAGTAGGTTGCAACTGCATTTCTGCAATCAACTGTAGAAGGGAAGACCACACCTTCCTCAATAGATGGATTTTTCCTGTCATACATCATGACAAGTCTGTCCTCATCTGCATCTTCAAAAGCTCCCATTTCATGATCCTCTTGCATCTCATCAGCATCTGTATCTGAAAATTCTGCAGGGATATAGTCTTTGTCTGCCTTTTCTTCTTCATTGTTGTGTTGAACATACCCAGGATAAAGTATCTCATCCTCCAGACCTGGTGCATCAGGCAATGCCTCCTCCACAACTGGATCACCTTTTTTGTTTGCTTGTTCCTGACTTTCATTAACACTTGGAGTTCTAGGAGCAGTAGAGGTGTCACTTACTGCCCTACTTCTACTGCTAGCCCTAGTTCTAGCCCTTGTCCCTCCAGC